AGTCTCCATACTGGTCGAGTATGATTGGCGGACCATGCCGTCCACTTCTTTACACAGCTGAAGTTGACTCATTGTAATTAACTGTGACCTGTATTGAGTATGAACAGGCCACCTGCATAGACCAGCCTGCCTCATGTTGAATGTCGTCCCCTGTACTGTGGAAGATTCCACCAGCACTCCTAAGGTCCAATTATGGAACAGGAAGAAAACTAGACCCTTACAAATCTTCATCATTTCACTTATTTTTCTCTGAGGCTATATTTTGACTATCCTCTCATTGCTGTCTTATAGGAAAATAGATGTGGAGCATATGCTTTTTCGGCTGAATATTTTATTTAGACAAGCCAGTGCATGGGCGGGGTATGCTTTTCCACGCCAAGATCAGGTGACCATGAAGCACACAACCAGGGATGCTGTAGGACCATAGTGGTCCTTGATACCATCCAAATTTCAGTGTTGGATGGTATCTTAAAGCCAGCCTAGTCCAACTCTTTCATTCTATTGATGATGAAATTAAAATTCACAAAGGTTAGATACTTTGCCAAGGTTATACAGTTGAGAAGAGACAGAACCAAGACAACAAGGTGGTTTTCTCTGGTCACTCTGGAGTGTTCTTTCATCATGAAGATGCAAATGGATGCTACGTCTGACATGCAAATGAATACCCACATCAAAAGCAAAAAAAAAAAAAAAAAAATCAGCAACATCTTTAGTGCTGGGTATTTAAAATGTAAAGGAGAGGGTAGTGTGTAGACTTTCTTCAAAGAATGTTACAAATTAGTATGCAGGAGAAGCCCAGGGATGAGCCTAGGACAACAAACACTTGCTGTTGTTCTCTGGGGAACTGACGATTATCCTCCCCGAGGAACAATGAACTGGGCTATGAAGAGACTTCACAAATATTATGGGGAAAAAACCTTCCTATTTCAAGCTGCAGCTCAAATATCCAAACAAATAACGGCCGTACAGTGTGCACATTGCTATCTGCACGCATTCTGTGTGCCGGTGCCTTTGTGTGTCTCCGTGTCTGTCCTTGAGTGTGTTTGTGTGCCTTTGTATGTTCACACGTTTGCACACATGCATGCCTGTCTGTCTGCACCTCATCCATGTGTATGTTCTACCTGTGTGTTTGCGTGTGACTGTGTGTCTGGTATACTCACATCCCAGACACAGCCAACAAGTGCCCCCTTCATACTGGAGAAAATCTTGGGCTGATTTGGACCTTGCCACTGCCCCTTACTGTTTTGCTTCTTGAGCAAGTAACATCATTGTTCTGAATCTCAGTATTCTTATCCCAGACATGGCACGTGTGATACTCACTATGAAAGAAAAAGTGCAGCCAGTGTGTTTTTATTCACTCAGCCGTTTTAGTAACGACATTGAATTAATGGCATCTGAACAAAGTTTGGTTCTATTTTATTGTAGAATCTCAGTAGATTTGCCTCTCAAATCAATTTTGGTAGCCAAATGTACAGATGGTCTTTATAAAAACATACATCGTTTTAATTAATCCTTGCAGCAACTCCATGAGTGAAGCGCAGTTATCTCCACTTTGTGTATGAACAACTAAATTGCCACAGTGCAATGATCTGCCTAGAGTCACCCTGCCAGCTAGTCACTCAGCCTTACAATTATTCTCTCCTTCACCTCACATGGGCTCAGGGCTGTTGTGAAGAACAACCATATGGTGGTTTGGAACTGGCACTGGCTTCCCGATCCTCTGTATCCAGCCAGTGTTTGCCCCACTTCTCTGATACACATGTTGTCCTTTGTATCCCAGCCGGCACACAAGTTCCCAATGTCTACTCACTGTCCTGCCTCTCTGGAGATACTAGGAAGAAGAGGGAATTGAGGGGACATTCAAACTGGACACCGTGGGGCACCTTCATTTTGAAGTGCATGTGCTAACCCATCTTAAAAGCACCTGGGGGTACAAGACTCGTAGTGCAAGTTTTTGACAGTCGTTAAACTGCTGCATACACAGCTCCTGGTATTCATCTCAGGACGCAACAGAAGGGCAACCGCTGGGACATGACTGTTTAATCCCTTCCTAATCTCTGGATTCTCATAAGTACTTTAAGTCTTCAAATATTGAACTATGAGAATTTAGTTTGCAAAAAACATTATGGTCATAGGAGCCCCAGATACTGAGCTCTGAAAAGTAGGAGAAACAGAGGAGCTAAAAGGCTGCCAGGGGGGTTGAAACTTTGAAACTGGTTAGTGAGAAAGAGATGCGGGATCCTGTTTACAAAATTATTATTTTGGTTTAGCAAGGTACATAGAATCAATATTGTACAGAAAATTGCGTAGGAAAAAACTCTCAGTTGAGCCCTTTAAAAGCAATTTAATATTTTTAATTAGGCAAATCTTTCTGATTCTCAAGCATTTAGCCATGAAATTTTAAAATCCAATGAAAGTTAGCCTTCAATAAATGCTGCTTTGTAAATTTTATTGTCCATTTAACAACCTAAGAATATTAACATTCTTTAGACACTTAAATTTAATCGTAATGACAAATATGGAGCTTTTAAAACTGCCTTTCATGTAATTTAGTCTAATTTGGTGCCTTTAACACATGGGTTTTCTTTTCTGATGTGTTGTCTCTCCAAATTGTAAATAAGGCCAATTCGCCTAGGAGCCTGCAAATTCCTGAGCAACTGTGCCTTATTCCCAAGCAGTCATTTAGAAACATAAGCACAATATATTGCCTGGAAAATAGTAACACTTGAGAGGTTTTGCACTTCACTTATTAACAGCTCTTTGACGTTTAAGCAGGAGTTAGTCCTATTTCAAAATGATGACAATATGATACCAGAAGTCTCGACAAGGCTGGACACTGTCCATGAGACACACAGGTGGGGAGAAATTTTCCTCTCTTAGCAATTTCTCTTTCTCTTAAGGGCACGTTGGACTAGAATTCAGTAGATGAGGGCTCTGAGCTACCCTCCAAAGTCCTGTTGCCTCCCTGAGACCCAGATTTTTCCTCAATAAGATGAGAACAATCATAATAGAAAAGGATTTAATTCAGCACAATATGGGAAAGTGTTTGCAAACTAAAATCCATCGTGTTCAAGTAGGGCACTCTTACCATGTTTATAATTGTTTCTCTGTATTCCTGGTCTCACCAAAACTAAATCAAATCAAATGACTTTGGCCTTGTGGGTGGCATAATCTCGCTCCCTGTTTAAAAAGGCTCTTTTCCATTACCATAGACTGGGCATGAAATAGCTCCAGCATCTTTGAGAGTTATAAAAATACGTGAATGAATGCACCCCAAACCATTCCACTGCTAGAAAAGCAAATTTGGCCTTAAGGCATCTATTGATGGGGTCATCTGGACCATCCATCTGAAACTGCAGCCTCTCCACCTACTTCCTGCCTTCCTCCACAGCCAAATATTTTCCATGTCGAGCTGACAATCATGTAGACGCTTTATTTTAATTCATTTCTCTTATTTACTGTGTCCTCCATTTGACTGTAAGCTCCACTTGGGCAGGGGTATTTGTTTCATTTACCGTCATTTATTTTTGTGTCCAGAGCAATGACGTACGTAGAAAAATGGATGAATAATGAGCAGCCTTTGGCCATAACACAAATGCTCATGTATCTGCAGCTAAAGAAAACCTAGCAACTATTAGGAGTGGTTCTCTGTAAGGCTAATGTTGCTTTTAATGTTTCAATTTGGATATCTCAAAGTCCATAAAATAATTTGTTCATTTTAAATGTTTTCTACGACTGGCTGCATCAGCAGTGTCTCATTTAAGCTATGTTCATCTGCTTGTTCTTCTCCCTGTTAAGAGGGAGTAGAGCTCATGCCTCAGATGCTAATCTTAGATTTATAGAAAAGTACGATGTATAAGACATAAAGAGGGTGTTTCCTCTCTCTCATTAGAACTTAAGTGTAGATTCCAGCTCTACTCCCCTAAGTAGTTACCAACCATTTAATGTTCATAAATTCTCACTGTATACTCAAATTCAAGAAATCAAAGCAGGATCATAAACGGCACTAATAATAAACAGGCATAAAATTTTTTATCACCCTCTGCTCCCACAGTGCTTGGGAAATCTGTGAAATTATCCTGTAGCAGATTGGAAAGAGGGAGTTGCATTAGAAGTCATGGCCCCTGCTAGTGACGCTGTTTCCATATTTTACAGCTTGGGAATCACTGTGTATTTACAAAACTCTAGTTTGCGCACTAGCTGTAAAGTGTAGCGGGGGAGCCTGTAGGGATTGTTCAGAGAAAGAACCAGTGTCGATGGAACCGGAGAACCGGGGAAAAACATCTCAAGCTAATGTCGGTCCTGTGAATCTTTAAGAGGGACTTTCCTCTGTTTTTACACCATCGCACAGGGAGTTGACAAGGGTTGACAATGCAGGAAGGGGACACTGCTTTCTATATTTAATTTCCCCAGGTTTCGGACTCCTTGAGTTTGAAAAACACTTCATTTTGTAGGATTTTCCTAAATAAAACTCCACATTCTGCGTGCACAGGAAGAAACAGAATGTGATTCTATTTCCATTTCTAGAGCCAGTGCAGCCACTTATTTGTTAAATGTTGTTGAAGAAAGTGTAAAACGATGCAGATGGTGGTGGGGAAATGCCTAACGTCTGCCTGGCCTTCCTCGGATTCTGTTGCTTTCTTCCTGACCTTCGCTGGGGCCACTCTGTGCTGCTTTCAGGGAATTTTCCAGACGAAGCCTTGTGATTGGCTGCCAGTGAATTAGAGACACAAAAGGCTTTAAAATCTTCATTTCTATTTCCAGAGAGAAAGATGCCATGTAGATGGAGAAAAAAATGCCATGTTTGAAGACATTTGTTTCATCCAGACGTCTAATTTAGTCTCCAAACTGTGCATGCATGCGATCCATGCGTGTATTTCCCTTTTCAGTTTTACCACGGAGGCCCTTGGCTATTTTGCCACAGACCAAGTAGTCACCGCAGGAAAAGTGAGCTCGGACTGGGCCGTTTTAATTTGCGACACGCTGAGAAGGGCACTCACCCGCACTGACGGTGATGGCTTCGATGAACTGTTCCCTCCAGCTGTTTGTCCCAACCACGAGGGCCAGGTTTGTCTTCTTAATGAGTTTGTCCACAGTACTCTAGAAAGGTTGAAAAGAATAATATAATAACTGCCGGGTTGGTTAAGGCCTCGGGAAATCTAAGACCTTGTTGATTTTGAAACCCCAGAGTTATAGAAAGGGTAGCAGATGTTAGGCTCAGAACAACAGTATTGACATCAAACACTGTTATGATTATGCAAACAAGCCTGGTTCTTAGTTGGAAACATTTTGAAATGGAAACTTCTCTGTAGCAAATCCAAGCCTCCTTCACTGACTAAGGGCCGCTGAATAGCCTCTGTGTTTAGAACAGCAGATGTTGCAAAAGCCCATCCATTGTCCTTGAAAGCCTTCCCCACTTCCTTTATCTGTAGCGTGCTGTCTGCAAGTGAATTAATGTATGTTCTGCTCAGCGCTACCTGTGAATAGCCCGAAGGAACAGACAGATTATGAAACCAAAAGCTGTTATTTTTGGGTTTTGTTTATCAGTGAAATGCAGCCAGATAGCAGAGTCTCATGGCTGCTTGTCTCATCATCACCAGACTTTTTCTGGCTACTAGTTTGGTCAGCCTGCTGGCTGTGAAGAGAATCCCACTCTTACCCTACTTGTGTTACAAACAAGAATAGACCGGGTCAGGCAAGACAAATCCATTGTTACGGTTTACAGAACCCTGCAATTTTCCGTGCCCTGCATCTCCCCTGTTTTACTGGTACTGTGGTGTGTACCCCTTATTTTTCCTTAGAACTTTTAAAGCGATTTGCTTGGTACAATTAGCGTTCTCTAGCTTTCTAAATTCAGTTAATGTAACAGCACAAGTGGCCAAGCATTTGCAAGAAAACTAAGTAAGCAGATGCACCCAAAGCACTACCACAAATCAGGGCAACTACAGGGAAAGGGGTCATGTCCAAGACACCCAGGTCGCTCCTCCCAGAGAAACTACCACGTCAGCTAGTCTACCAAAGGTCCACACTTACTGTCAGAGCATCCTCGTATTTCCACTAATTGCAAAGAGGCAGAAAACACGTATTATTTGTCTTAGATCAAATCTGTACATGTTTAATGCAGTGTACCTAAACTGACTATAGTTTGAGAGAGAGAGCACATTATCAGTGAGCTGGGAGTAAGGGAAACGCAACTTGTGGGGCTTGTAGGAAAGGCCAAAACCAGATCATAATATCAAGCATGTTAGCTTAAGAAGAGTCATTAGACCCGACTTGAAACATTGAGAAGAGAACAAACATGAAATGGCCCATCTCCAACTGGCTCATTCTGTATTTTAAACATTATTCTTGGCTGGATTGTCTGTCCTTAGGGTGGTGACCTTTCAGCTTCTAGCCTTCTGTCTAGAACTGCTGGTGCCCCCGATAAAAGCTCTAGCAGTCTCTGCTCTTGGCCGTCGTAACTTGAAGCACATGACAAACATCTGCCTTTCCTCTCTTGACTTAGCTGCATCTCATCAAGCAGTCTGAGCATCATGGTTGATACAAATTCAAAGGGCTTGTGTGGAACGTAGCAAGAAATGACCTCAGTGTTTCCTAATGTAATGGAAACTTAGGACAGCTCTTTCCAAAGGGGGACTCTCTCTCATGCTGAAGCCAACTCAGAAAGAACTCTATCACCAGGGAGATAAACAGCTGAACAGATAAATAGTTGAACAAGGACTTTCCTCAAAAAATATAAGCTAACGAACAAATTTTTAGGAAAACATAAACATTTATTTATATGCATAAAAACTTAAGGTCGATTTTAAACATTAGTTGATGTTAACTCTGGGGTACTGTGGGAGAGCCAGGGTTGTTCCTAGGACTTGATTCACATATGAATCCTTTCTTGACCTGTGGGAGAATGCAGAGTGAATTGAAGATGAATTGGAAGTTTAGACACCTAAACTCAGACATTGCTGTATTTCCTGGAGGGTTCTTAAATGCCAACGATCAGCTCCTCACTGCTCTAGACTTTCAAGAGATTGCAAAGCCTCACTCTTAGCCGTAGGTGTGAGTAAAGCATTGTCCTCAGTCACAACCCAGTAAGCGAGAACTCAGTGGCCAAAATAGAGGGGAACATCGTGAAGTGTCACCCAGGCTTGGGTTTCAAATGCAGTTCTGGGGACTTTGAACAAGTTCTTTAAAATAAATATATTCTCGAAAAAGAAATTTCTGGGACAAACTATATAAAATCAAAATTGAGACTTGAGGGCCCTTGGGAAACAAGTCCCCAAGGGTGCCCCTTAGCTGTTAACAGCAAGTGTGCTGATGAACTTCAAGGCAATGAGAAGAAATAGTCTATAGAAGCTATTGTAAGGGGTAAGTACCCCAAACATCTGGATTTCTGTAAAGAAAATGGGGGACTTTCACATGTTCAGATCATTGGACTGGTTACTAGAGTTTTGGATCTAGGAAAGCTTTGCAGTCTGGAAGTGTGAGCTAACTCACACTTTCCTAACTCAATACTTCTTGAAAGATGTCATTATGGTTTCTCTGCCTATTAAGGGGACGTGGAAAGAGAAGTTTCTGGATTATTCCATAAGGGTGAAGAACACACCACTACCCAGGAGAACCCTGGGAAGGGAGGAGGGAAAGCTTGCTTTGCAGATGCCAACTCCTATTAATGGAATCTTTGTTGTAGCAAGAGGCACCAGGCTCTTGAATTCCAAATAAAAAGAGGAAGAGTGAGGCTGGACACCCCTGAACCAAAGATAAACAGACTGGTTCACAGAAATGGACAATCTGAGATTCCTGCCCATCTGGAATTACAGGGAACGTGTGCGTGATCCAGTTATGGTAGTGCAACAAGCCAGATTCCATATCACACTACATGTGGGGTCTCGAAGTCAGGAGCTCCCTTGAAAGCTTTGGTTTCAGGGTCTATCCCTGCACTCTCTTTCCGTGGGAAAGAGTCAAAGGCAGCATTATCAGATTCTCAGGGCCTGAAAGGGACAGTTTAATTGCATTTTTATCTTTTAAAAATTCCGCTCCCATTGCAAAGACATTTTGCTTTCTACCTGCCTCTTATCAGGCACCTCAATTTGTGAACTAAATTAAAAGATAATTAATGAGCCACTATTATTACAAAATGCAGATAAAATACTGAGGTTTTTTTGAGTCAGTGGCCTGGTTCTCTCTTTTGGAATCTTCCTTCTAGTTTTTCAAACAGGAGCAGAGTCAGCTTTAGGGAAAAGTAAGTTGGGAAAACACTGCTGTGCTCTGGGTTTGTAATTCTAGAAAGCAGGAGAAGGGATGCACTTTCCACGTCCCGCCGCAGAACTGGGGTGTGGCTCTGCTCCCTGCCTTCACAGACATCAGGACTGTGTGGCCGAGAGGGGGTGGGGGGTAGGGGCCGAGGGGGCAGCTAAGGTCCCATAGGAAGTTTCACCTCAAAGTCTTGAGCTCTACCCCAAGGCCCAGGTATTCAACTTCCAGAAAAAATGATGACTTTCGTTATCTAGAGAATTGGGAATCCAGTTTTATCAGCTCAACTATAAACTCTCTGGTTTAAGGCAGGTCAGTTCACCAATGGGATGCCCTAGAGAGAGATTGCCAGCCCCTCCTCCAGACAGAAGAGTCCTAATTTTCAGCAGGGTGAATGCTTTGCTTCTGGCAGACTTATTACCTTTTTCACATAGAGCCTGGTTTCTTTTATACATAACAATCTCCTGGATGCATCTTTGCATCTCCTGTGTTATCCCCTCGGGTAGTGGCATACTTTCGGGACACCTCTGACCTCGTGCAGGGACAGATGCCTCTTGCTGGGTCCCGGATCTGATGCTGTTTAGTTTACGAGACCTGTTTGTTCCCTACTAACTCTATAGGTCCGATTTGTCTCTGAAGGCCTCTCCATTAATAAGTGCATTCCTGAAGTTACGTCTGCCTCTCTTACCAAGGGGATCTTACACCTTAGCCCCACACTATAAACAGTTTTGGCCCAAGGTGGGCCTGGCTCCCAGGTGGGCGATGCTGTTGGGTATACCTTGAATTCATAGGATTCCTCAATGATCACTTCCAGCTTGGTGTGCTCTCCCAGGATGGGGCGCCCCATCTCGGCGATGCGTCTCTCCTCTTCCTCTTTGCTGGTCAGTGGCTGCTTGTCATCATACTCCTCTGTGAAAGGGAAAGGCAAGAGAGTGAGCAACGCACTGTTTTATTTGGAAATCCCTAGATCTTGCCACAAGGAAACCAAGGAGGCAGGAAGCCCCAATGACCTACTAAAAGTCCCTTGGGGGAGATCGTGAGGCTGGAGGGGAGAACTGGACAGACTCTTGTCACTGTATGCAGCATGTCACTGTGACAGCAGGTGATTACAATGCCCCCAGACCCAAGCTCATGCAAAAGTAGTTGAAGAGAAGTAATGGCCAGTGCCCAGGACTGAGAAAGACCCTGCCTGCACATCGTGTCAGAGGAATCCCCCATCTGGCCCTGCAAGGAGGACTCTGCTGGCTGTTTGTACACATTTCTTCAGCACAGGGCCAAAGGGGAACACAATTAAAAATGCCAGAGTGACCCTGAAGGGGAGAAGAGTTTGGCCTCTTCCTCTCCATTTCCTAAGGACAACAGAAAATGCCCCACGACCAAAAAAATGGAAACGGGAATTCTTGATCTTAGCCTCTCACTTGCCGAGAGCCCTCCCTGCAAGTGAAGCAGCAAAACATCCATTCCACGTTTCTGTAAGATGCTTGGGCTCCAATGCTTCCTCTCTCTGGTGCACAGCCCAGTAATGTTCGGGAAACCTTGACCATGTTAATCTTAAAGTAAACAGTGGGGGCGAGGGTGAGTCCTCTGGAGAGTTCACACTCACTCACCACGTGAGCATGATTATTTCCAGACCTACCATGTAGCTCGCGCTCCAGGAGAGGCTGGTGGGTGCTGAGAAAATGTTAACGGATCCAAAAGTCCATTAATGAGGGGAAGCTCACAGTTGGCTCTCTCTGCGTGAAGGTCATTAGGCTGAGTCCCAGACTGAAAAGGCCACGCACATGAGGACAAACACTAGCCCTGCAATTACCCTTATCCTTCAGGCCCAGGACGCTGGAACGAGACAGACTGCTTCCTCCCAGAGCCAAGTGCTATGAACATCATTTCTAAGGAAACAGTATCAGTGGTGTGGAAAGACCTCAGCCCTAATTCCCTCACCCCTAGGACTTCTGCACAGATGCCTGTCATAAGAGTTTGTGACTGCAGAGCCATCCAAAACGGAGGGACTTCTTGCCCAGGCTTCCTGCCTTTTGCCTCTAGACATCAGCTCTGCAGAAGTCCACACCTCCTGTGCCCTCCAAAGACCCCTGGCTTCCTTTCTGCTGAGGGACCGGGCTGTGATGGCTTTGTCTGGTACCTTAGCAGTTGTTGTAGGGAATGGTTCCTAGGCTAGTTGCTCGCTGCACAGGCAGGGGGGCAGATGAGCTAGAGGCACTGGCAGTCTTTTACATAATTAGTGTCAGAACTGACAAAAAAGCAGAATGGAGTATATGGATTAATTCTTTAGTATGCGTTGAATAGTGTCTTCCTAAAAGTCTATTTTAAAATTTGCTTTTCTATCCCCAGTGATTACAGGCACCAAGGAAATGAGATGAACACTAAGCACAGATGATTATGGACTGGCCAGAAGCTGCTGAGTGTTAGCAGAGCCAAATGAGAGGGGCAAGGAGATTAATATTAACTCGAGTAGTGGCAATATTTTTAATAATGGAATTGGGAAGTTATAACCCAGAGGATGTCAAAGCATTTCTGGTTGGAGCCTCTAAAATTTGTCCTTGTGAAATTATGTAGTCAATGTAGAAATTAGTCAATGTATCTGGCTGAGATACTTGAAGTCCCATTTATCCAGCGCCCTTATCACTCAAACTTTGATCACCACTGCCTCCTAATTCCTGAACCCAGGATAATACTTCTCACTGTGGCAAGTGATCCGTGTATTAGTGACTTTGTTCAGAGCTTTGGCTGCTGGGGATATAAGAAGTCTTGAAGACTTAACATCAAACAAGAATTACTTTCTCAAAAGAAGAAATATTACAACTTGGATATCTATTTAAATTATAAAGCCACTGGGAGAGCATATTTATTATAGCCTTCTTTTCCATAGCTTACTTATAAATCATAAGTTTTTTTTTAATGGGATTTAAGGCAATTTAGGTAGAAAAGAATAGAGAAATTATGAAAGAAAGGTGATGTGGTAGCATTGTTTAACAATTTCACAAAATGAAATTGCTTTGGCACATGGAATTAAATAAACGGAAGTGGAAGGTTTCGACTATTTTAAGATAGAGAATAAAGTTCTTAGGTATAAAGGATTTGACAGTATCTAGCTATTAATAGAATTGAGTAACTTTTCTCCATTTAAAAGATTTTTCAGTCTTGTTTTCTGACAAATGGTACAAGTTTTCCTTATGTTCATGTCTTAAAAGTTTTCTTTTAAAAATGAATATAGTAAGCAAAAATATGATGCAATTTCAAAAACAATTACATAAATAATATGGTTGGTATGCAACCAAAGCAAAAGTCATAAAGGAGGTATATGAAAGACAAATATCACCATCTTAATAGCTTTCACACCATCCTAAATAAAAATAAGATAACTTGTTTCTGTCACTTACTACACTCTTGCTCCAAAATGACCTGAATTTCTTAATCACACATTTATCCTTTTGTGTTTCCATCTGGAAAAGCTTTGTTATCAACCTCTGGTTAAATTCTGCTTTCAAAACCTTTCCTCTTCTTGCCTTAGATATCTCCTGATTAATGATTAGGGATTTAGAAACTACCACTCTACCCTAAAATTGGTTTCTTAATTTTCATCGTGTGTATCGAACATAGACACTCTCCTTTACTCTTTTTATTTTATTTATTTATTTTGTTTCAGTAAATTACCTTGACATACTAATGCCCACTGTGTGAACTTGCTGAGAAAGACTAGTAAGCCTCCTTGTCCTTGGGACTGCCCTCACATGCCCTAGGGCCTGTTAGAACATTTGGAATGTACTAAGTGCCTGGTGTTTGTTGTGTGACTCTCCAACTCACTCTTAGCAAAGCCCCTTATTTGCTCTATCCATAAAGAAGGATCATTTATTCACTGAGCACTTGTCTTTGCCATGTCAGCAGAGCCATCATCCTCTCCGGCCATGCTCCACTTTCTGGGAACACGGGGTCTAATGGCAAGAGAGGCACATAAACAGCAACATGGCAAGGGCTGAGGGACAAGAGTCAACAAGGCAAGGGCTGAGGGACTAGGGTGAGGGGAGCAACTGACTCCACGTGGGCAAGCAGGGGAAGGCTTCGGCAAGGAGGAGCTATTTGCAATGGGCCTTGCAGAATGTATAAAAGCTCACAGGGTGAGGGTGAAGGTGAGGATGGTTAGCAGGTGGTGGGGTGAACAGGTGTGTTCCAGGCTGAGAGATGCCAAAGTACAATGCACAGAGTCGCAAGAGGGGCAGGGCTATTTTTACTTAGTTAATACCAGGAACTTAAATGTAACTGAGAGATGGTAGCTGGACAGATCCTGTAATTGCGTTACAATGATATTGACGAATTAGCATTTGTGATCTAGATTTTTTATACTGCTGAAAATGAGAGCTGAGTGTATATATATGTATATTTGAGTGTCCTCTCTTTGGACACATTGTACTGAATAGGGAAATAAAATGTTGACCATCTACTATTTATTTTCTTTTCACTGTGAGCATTGTGTCAAAAGTAGATCATTTTACTATGGCTGAGGTCACTTTTATTTCCTTACATAGAGTGACAACCCGTTGTTTTAGTTTTATTTCTCAGATAGATTTCTCTCTCTACGTGTGTGCCCGTATGTGTGTGTATACTTTTAAACCTCACAATATTTTAGCGAGAAGTTTGAAACAAAATTATGTAACATCATAGTCTTAACCAAGCAGAGCATCTTAAAGATCAAATGCATAATTAACAGCCACTGTTCAAATCCGTATTGACAGGACATAAAACAATCCTGTGAGAAAACCTCTAGTGGGCAGTCTCTCTTCTCCTGAGTAATTGATGTTTCAACCAGCAACAAATGATAAAAGCTAAAAGGTACCGGGAGTCTGGGAAAAATAGAATCTTGAAGACGCTGTTTCTATTGCTGTCTGGGTCAGGCTGCAGGTTAAAGCAGCATCTCTGTCAGAGACGAAGGGCTGAGAGTGGGAACTCGCATTAGAAAACAATGCGACCCACAGGGCTATCTCATTATTGAGATCTGTACCTAAGGAGCTTCTGCTGGTATTCTTTAATGCAGTCACCATTTTTTAATCCAGACAAAAGGGTCTGGGGCCAGCGGTGGGACAGTTTGCTCAAGATTCTTTGATCCTTCAGTGGGAACTGTGCTGACAAATCTGAAAGCCAAGATCTCCTAGACAGTTTGGCGCCTGGGTGACCGCTCTGATCGGAGCCTCAACTGGCACTTTTGTTTCTATGAGGAATATTCAGGAACAACTCTAGAGTCAGGCCCAAGTATCATGATTATTGAACAGGGGTAGTAGGTGTGAGGATGAGGGAAGTTCTACTGGGTCAGGCAGAAGTGTTCTGGCTGCCATGGCCAGGGATGGGCAGTAGGATTAAAGAGAAAGTAGCCTTGTCCTCATCCAGAAACGTGGGGCCAGGAGATGACAGCAGACTCTTGACTTACAGTAGATCCGGGATAGCTGTGTACTCCTCTAGTCACCCTGTCAATGGTCCTTTATCTCGCCTATGGAGAACCCCCCGGACCTATGCATCTCTGGTTAACGTCATGTTTCTTAGAGGCGGGATGTGCAGGCTTCAGGAGAAAGGAAGCTCAACTTTTAAAGAAACTTCATTATACATGAGATGACAAATTCATGTGTGAGACGATACATTTGCAAGAAATCTGGAATGTACTGAAATGTGAGAGGGAGAAGCCATTGGGTGGATTTTCTCTTTAGGTCCATGCGGCCCCCCTCCCTTCCACAAGTGCCTCCTGTTCTGCCCCGATGTGGTTACGTTTGCTGCAGTCCGCCACACCGCACCCCCAGCTGCCGGAGAAGCCGCAGCATTATTAACAATGTTTTAGAGGAGACAAAGCGAAAATGCACAACTCTAATGTCTTTAAGAGCTAAAGGATATATTGGAAGGCTGTGATTTTTCAAGGAGCGTGAGGAAATGAGTACCTGAAAAGGTGATTATAGTAGAGGGAATCGGATGTTCTCTAGCGTGAACTTTCCTGAAGACAGGTTGGCCTAGCAAAAGGACAGGAAGAAAATCAGCAGAATGGATTGCACTGGTTTGCGGTCAGAGCTTTGTGGGATTAGCACGGTAAACATCACACCCAGAGGCACACATCGCAAGCAATGTTAGTTGGGGGATTGAGCGAATAGAGGTCACCCCTACACAGGTTACAGAAGGTAACTCTGGTGGAGGTGACCATGGGGGTCACTGCTCAGAGATGAGGCCGGTGTTCCATGAGCCAGACCACACTATGTTGTTGAACCCCATGTCTTATGTAGGAGGTACAGCCAAATTGTTCAGGTGTCTGAAAGGGGGTATCCAGGTTCTGTAAGTTACTTTTTCCCGATGCATCATGGAACATCAGAAAGCCCTTGGTGTAGTGACAGGTGTCCCAGTTTTGAACCTATTAAACCTTGAGTGGGCTATTTCTCCAGTTTTTCCACATGTATTGAAACTTGAGAGGGAGAAGCCCACAAGGAAAATGAGGATTATAGTGTCTGTTCTATGGCATAGGTTTGTTTGCAGGTCAAATAACATAACATCTGAGAACTGCTTACATTTATTTATTCTTTGGGCAGTCTAAAGGGAAGAAGGCTACATACCCTTGCAGGTTTTGCACGGATAAGCCATCATCACAACAATTGTTTGGATTAACCAGGCCCAGGGTTTCACTGAACTCCTAGTTCAGTTGACTTCCAGCTTCAATTGCCCATTACTGGCCTTGGAATCATGAGACGTGAGACTCAGTGCCAACTCTGCCATATGTCTAAATTTGGTCAAAGCCTCTTTCTGTTCTCTGAGTCTCATTTTTCCCAACTATAAAGTGAAATTGAACTTGAAGGGGCTTTGCTCCTCTAACCTATGTTTTCAACTCTCAGAATCGTTATGGTTTGGATTCCTTAAAAAGCCATGTGCTTTATTGAGTCCACTAGATGATGAATGTAATATGATTGGAGGAGTAATATGAAAGAGGTATATTGACTGTTAATTAATTGTATTTAATTAGATAACTCTAGCTGCATGTCTTAGAAATTTGGGGACTCCAGCATAGTTTTTCCTCTCCATATTGAGCTACAATACTTAATTTATTCAAATAGCCATATTTTATTTTGCTTTTTTTTACAGGTAAGTCCTCATCACCTGGGCTGGAGTGCAGTGGTGTGATCATTGTTCACTGCAGCCTGGAACTTCTGGCCTCAAGTGATCCTCCTGCCTCAGCCTCCAAAAGTACTAGAATTGTAAGTACCTGTAAGTACATAAGCTGCTGCACCCAGCCAAAATGACCACTTTTACATGCTTTATTTTCCTTCTTTCAGGGTCCTCCTCATTTTTCATTTGTCTAGAATCCACAATGATGGCATTTATGAGATACACTGGGCTTTGGCTTGAAAAAGGGTTCAGTGTGAACTTTCATGATGTAGTTTAAAAAGGGGGCTTGAGGAGAGGAAATAGAACAGTGTTGTGGTACAATCACCATCCTGTGGCCATGGACTTAAAAACAGAGGGCCTGGCTGAGTCCTTGGATGGGTGATCTGGGTTAGACTGATTAATTTCTTTGAACCTTTATTTCCTCTCCCTTCTAAGTGAGACCAATAAAGTCTTACTCCATAAAATTGGTAATAAAATGATATAATGAATAAGAAATCTTTTACAAACTCTTAATGAGCTATAATATATAGGGTGTGATCATGTCATATGACTGGAAGGTCAAGGGGAAATGAGATCATAGGTCCAAAGGGCCTTTTAGTGAGGCAAGGTCTAGGAACAGCAGATAAAGATTTGCAAGTTCTGAAAGCACCTTTAGAACTTAATGTCCATCACTAATGAGATCTCTGAAATATTGGTATTAGGCAGGGGATCAAATGGCTTTTCAATTTCCATATATTCTACTTCAAATTTAGATTTTCACACTCAGCTGCAAAAGTCCATGTAAATAAAAGCTGTAGGCGTAGTCCAAGGGCTAGGTTAATTCTTCTCTGCTGCCCCTGCATCTCAAAGCCTTGACTTCAAAGCCTCAAACTGACTTCAAAGGAAAGCTCTTTAGGGCTTAAAGATGCTTTCACTGTACAGACCTAAGTTTTAGAACTTTCCTCAGGGGCATCAGTAGAAGTAGATCCTGGGCATTGTAGACTGATTCAGGAGAAGGGTTAAGTAAAGTGAGACAGCTTTTAGGAAAGCAGAAATAGACAGGCCAATGTAGAAATCCCCAGAGAGTTCTGGAACATTCTCTTGTTTCTAACTACATCAATTTCAAGTCTTGGGAAGAGGTGGTAACAATAGAAAAATTGCTATTTCAGATCAAAGTTTCATCCGTAAGGAAGAACTTTGAACTACACAAGATGATAGAAACTTTGGAGGAAATGATTCTGTCATCTTGGAAGCCAGATATATAGCCAAGGTCAGAAATGTGGCACATGACTAGTTGGATACTACAAAACTGGATATGAAGAATTTCTGTGAAAAGAAAACTAGGATCCCATTATCTGAGATAATAAAAGGGAAGAAAGAAGGAAGGCCTTAAAAACAAAATCCGGACATATGCAGTGATAACAAAAATAGAAAGATAGCAAACCCATTGGTACATGTTAATAGAGCATTCTACCCACAAATGCCTTTTTGTTAAGGTTTCATTATCAGGCTGCACAGTACTGAAGGTGCTGCTAGGTAGTATACTATTCCTATAATAGTTGACTTTAAATTAATAATGACCTCAATGAAGTCATAAAGGCTGGCTTGCCAAGTTTCAACCTTTCTGAAATCGCTCAAGGATAACTTATTGATCCTTGGGTGACAGAATCAGAATTTCATAATAAGACTTCGATGAGTTAAAAGGACGGAATGAAAAAAAGAAGTTAAAAGTTTTTTTAAAAATGTAAATTCTTGCATGCACCTGTACTAAAAAATAATCTTCCATGATGTGGTGCAGAATTGGGCAGATAAGATCCGAGAAAGCTTCAGATAGATCAGATTTTGAAAATCCGATCTGATTGGATTTGTTTGATTGAGGACTTTAACATTTTTGTCTTTTTCAATTTCTGTGTCTCTGAGAGTCTATTCATCATTTTGTCATTAAATGTTGTGTCTAGAGAGGAGCAGTAGAAAGCAACGGCCCATGTGAAACTGACCATATTTAGAACATTCCACGTTGGATGGAATTATGTTGGAACTATTTGTTCGTGAGTTTACACTAACGGGTTTAAGTTATCCCCAACTCCTGCCATGGTATTTTCCCTATTAGAATTTTAGAAATATTTTCCTCTAGATATTTTTGTTCAGATATCGACTTTAAAATATATCTGTACAATATATTGGAAAATTTTGATCTTTGCATAATATATTGGAAAATGCTCTATGGTGGCCTAGAATGGAGGCCATTGGAGACATCTTCCATCTACAGCTCAGGCAAATCAGAGCAACTGTTTGAATGTTTCTTCCCCTGTCTAAACCTGCACACATGACTCTGAAAAGGTGAGGAGACATACATGGTTAAAGAGGGTGCTGTAAGAAAGTATCTTCATTCATTGTCCACAAGAAAATAGGTTTAGAGTTGTGCTAAATAACACAACTCTAATCAACGCAAGCTGAGTACCATTCTGAATTTAAGGGTTTTAAATTATTTTATTGGCATCTTGAGTTTTTATAGAGCATAATGAAATGCACTTCAAGTGGCAGAAATATTACTGATTACCATGGTATTAATACTAAACTAAGTCTCCAAAAAGGGCTTGGACTACCATGGAGGGATGAGTGGGTGGGGACTTGTCTGTCCTCCCCCAATGTGGCATTATCTATTACTAGGATCCTGAGCTTGGGCCATAGAGCAGTTTTGGATGGTAGTTCCTGTGGTTCAGCCAGGAACTGTGTCTTATTTACTCTGGTACTCTTTGGAGCATCTATCAGGGTACTGAACATCATCGGTGTCATATCAACATTCGTAAATTGACCAGTGTTAAAATGTGAACAGTTACAGTTTCTCCACATGAATTGCTTACTAATAAACACAACACACATACTGTTAATTTGTAAAATGTTAAATGCGTAAAACCAGCAAGAACACACCATTGCTGAAGTTAAATATTCATGCAGATTATGTAAGATGTGCATTTGGGTTGATTTTGCGGGATATTTGGGGAGAAATAAGGAAAAAATTTCAAAAACTGTCTTACCATACAGGCATTTTCCTTCATTAAAAGCAAATAAAAATGAGAAATGACTTTTAAGTATGTACCAACATATGGTGAGTGAGAACAGACAGCAAAACTAAAATTAGCATTAGACTTTAAAAATTCATACCTGTTATTGTGAAGCCACCTAAAAAAGAAAAAGAAAAATAATTGTTATAATTTAACTTACACTCTAACAAATACCAGTGACATCAGCTACCCACCCCAGGTACAAAAGCTTGCCCAGTTCTATTCACAGTTAAGAAGAACAGGGAAGCATATCCATTCATGACTGAATCTCTAATCGTTCTTTTAAGATTATGGGATTTAGTGCACAAAGCACCCTTGTGCATACCTGAGAAAGCACTGATATTTGAAAAGGTTATACCAAATTCAAAATTTAATATAAACTGTTTGACCTTAACAAAAATGAGGCCAATGGGCCTCCACAACAATTGTGCTGGCCAATCAATAGATATAAAAGGCAGAGAGCCACTGTGTCACCTGACAGAATGGAAAATAACCTAGAGAAATGGAAAGGAAATGCAAGAAATGAAATGCTTACCAAGCTCATTCAATAACAGGGCTGTGAAGGAAACAGACAAAGACAAACACAGAATAAGAGACCAGATGAATAATGAAAGTAAGAGGAATATCAGCAGAAAGAAATCCAGGCGGATCTGGTTAGAGCGGTAGGGAGCCGCTGCTACAAGAATTGGTGCACCCCAAGGAAATGTGGCATTGGGAATATTTCAAAATCAGCAACTCCAACAGGTATTTCTGCAAATGTGCGTGATTGAGTACATACACATACGTGTAACCATCTAGCTCATTTCTTTATATTTAATGAGACATTTCACTATGTATGTTTACACATAGCGTATTTACCTAGTGTGCCAGAGGCAGTAAAAACACTGTATGAAATTAATTCTTAACTTGATTTAAGTGAGTCTTCCTCTCTAAATATTGCCCTGATTTATTCACTCCAACATGTGGAAGTCTTAAATCACCCGGGATCTTGGGTATTGTACATTTGATTCAGTGCGAGCTGATGACACATCCTGGGAATTCTATTTTGGCTGCCTTGTATGGAAGGGGACTTTGGCCGTGGTAAATCTTTCTCTTGGAACGTTCTCTTTGGATAATTTTTGGTCACCAAAAATTGATGTTTTTTAAATCCTTCACATTTAATAGTCCCAGGAATTAATGCTTATTTGTGTCCTTATTTGTGACTTGCGCGTATCATTAGATAATCGGAATCCCTCTTGTGGACACATAATTCCATGAAACTGACAGGGGTGAGGGGGAGGAGACGTGCATAATTTGTCTTCCAGGTTATGCTTTAAACCCAGACTGTCTGCAGCACTTGATTCTAGTAAAAGCAACTTGGCTAACTTTATCAAATAAATTACCTCCCGAGTTATAGATGGGAGTGCTACAGTTACTGTTTTAGGCCTAGTTTTCATTCTAATGATAGTGCCATTAAAGGATACTTTGTAAAACAAGTCAGTAATTTACTCTTAGTGACAAGAATCCACTTGGTGGGTACCAGACTGGATAGTGCTATTAAGGAATTTTAATTTATTGTTACATGAGGGCATACTTTACTAAAAGGACAAATGAAAGAGCTGTAGCCAAGATTCTTTTCCTTGCATTAATAGAGGAATATATTTAGAAGTAAATGCTTTTTCCTGTATGTTAATGAGGCATTTTTCATCCCATCTTTGCACAAAATCAGTGCAATTTTCTGGTCTCTTTTCCTTCTGTCTGCTGTCTATGGAGCATATCAAACAGCCTGCATTAAAATGGGTCCCAAGTGGTCCTTTCTTCATCACTCCAAAGGCTCTTGTTGTCATTTTGAACTTGATTAAGTCAGGGACATACTTTTTTATCTTCTGATGCATTATGAGGTCAGTGAGTTCTCATAAATGCGGGATTAAATTTTCCCAAATGTTGGGTCTATATAGGAATTTATCCTATATACTGTATTTCCACCCCTGCATATAAAAGTATAAATTTCTTCCATAGTGGTACATGTCATCCTCTCCTATACCGCTTTCACCAATTGTCCATATGCACTTAGTAAAAGCGATTATTAATGTGGTCTGCTCCTTTTATATATGCAATTAAATCAACAGGATCTTTTTAAAATGTTCACTAGTAGAAGACGATGACAGGAAGCCCTAGTAATAATTCAGATAAAAATTCCTGTTCTTCCTAAATAAATATAGGCCATATAAAATAGATATGAAACTGAAGATAGGAAGGAAAATTGGCTTGATATTTTAAAAACATAAGGGTAAATCAACAAAATCTAGTTGTAAGGACACTGCCTTTATTTTTTCCTTTCCCTGTGCATGTTAAAAATTGACTTCTTCTATCAGGATCAAAAGATTTTGAAGCACGAGACTGGAAAGGTTTTCAATATGGGCTGAGGTCTTACTGAATAGCCTTCTGACTATAGGAAATTGTTATGGTTATGGTTTCACATAAATGGGACCATTTTAAAAAATGCCATGTTTGATAATATGAAAAACATCATATCAATGTGAGTACTGGAATATTGAGAATACTTGTTAAGGATTTTTATTCTTATTAATTTGTTTAACTGGATAAAGAAGGCTAATTCTTGAATGCCTTGAAATTCCCCACCAGGTGCTATCAGACTCATCTCCTACTGCAAATAAGTACTAAGCAGGTGTCTTCCTTCCAGCTTTATTGATGAGTGCTTGAAAGGATAGTAAGTAGTCTCTATCACTAACATTTTAGGGGAAATTTAACACTTGGAGCTATATTTTAGAATGAACCCTGAGGGGTGAAAGACTATAGCATCATTTCTGAATTACAAAGTATCTTCCTAATATTAAATCTGGTTGCAATCAAGGTTAGTTGGCATTTCCTGAAGGGAATGGGCATTGCTTGGTGCACTTGTGAGTCAGGGAAGGGAATGAACAGGCTAAAGCTTTGAAGGCCATGGAGTGTAGTACTGGGAAGCTGAGGAAGAGGAGAGAGGTAAGTGTGAGAGTAAGGAGACACGGAGAGAGAAGAGTACAATTTCTCGCTGGTATGTCTTTGTATACTCTCACACCTTTCATTCCTCTTCTTATCCATATTGGTTCCTCAAGCACAAGGGAGAAACTGCACTCTTTCTCATATTCCTCATGGTCAAATATTCTAATGGTAATGATCTTCCTGTGGGAACACAAGACAAAGGCAAAACAATGGTTGGAGTCACATGCTCATGCTCTTGGTGTCCACCACGCTGAATGTTACTGTGATGTTATGGAGGGAGAACTGGCAGCACATGGGCCTCCGAAAGTATGTAAAAGGGCATCTTGGCTACTCTCGGCTGGCCACCTTTAAGTGTTTTTTTGCTGATTTACCACTTTCACCAATTCTTCCTGCTTTGGCCCACAGTCAGGAGGTACCCCCCACATCAGGAAGAAAAATCAAAATGTTTGCTTCTTTGGGGCATTGCATGGTGTCTGCACCAACTTTTATAGAGATTAGGGCTCGAATGAGTGCCCAGAAAATCAATCTCTCAGATTCTAATGTGCAGTGTGGCCAGAACTGGCCAATGCAGCGACAGCCCTGCCTGCTGTGACCCAGCACGAGATCTATGCCCTGTTACACAGGTGGAGGGATGTGTGCATCGTAAGTCATGTTCTGAAGACTGCAGGCATCCAGGGGTGGCACAGGCCAGCCGAAGCTGTTGGCTCAGCCCTGGAGCAGCTCCCCCACCTTTCTTCTCACTCATCTCCACCAGGCGGGGCTCTCCAATCTCAAGGAAGAAGGTCTTGTTTTTCTCATACTCCTCATCATCAATTACCTTGACAGATATTGTTTTGCTGCAACAGAGAAGAATAGAAATTGACGAACAAAGGGAAAAGGAAAGAGAAGAGAAGGAACAGAGAAGAAGAAAGCAAGGTTAACGAGTTGCACTTGAAGACAAACAGCAATTGAGAAACTTCTGTACTGTGAGGTTTTTTTCCCTCCAGAATGAGTATCAGATAGGACGGAAAGGTTGAAGAGGTCACCCAAATAAGGCATAGCTCCCCTGCCCAAGGCTGTGGAATGGTTTTGGACAAAATATAGCATTCAGTACTAATAGGTTTATAATCATCATGAGAAGGAAAAGCAGGACAACACAGATCAAAATAGTAAGAAAAGAAAAAATGTATTTATTTAGCGAATGCCTTAACTATCAGATTCTCTACGCTGCGCCCTGGAACTCACTCTTTTAGAACAAATCAAGAAATCATAGCAAAATGTCAACAGAGGTTATCTCTGCGTGACTGGCTTATGGGTTATTTTTTTTCTTTTATTGTTCTTTATTGAATTTCCAAACATAATATTTTTATCATAAAATTTTATTGAAGCAATAAATGTATAAAAACACCACCAAGAAAATATAAAATCTTTTATCTCACCCCGCCCAGTGTCCTAGCATCACGCTCTTATTCGGGTTAGTCAGATTTTCTTGCTCGGCCACAACAGGAAGTGGTTCATGTTTTGTTTGTGTTTCTAAAGATGGAAGCCGTGGCCTCGCGACAGCTGTTTTGAAAGTAGGGTGGCGGCAGGTGGGAGTCGTGATGTCACGGTTATTTTTATCCCTCCCAAAGTTGAGTTTTAACTTTCACTAAATATGCCATTCACACTACTTTCAGAGGCCGCTGATGCGACAAGGTGTTCTGATAAGAATTCTCTCTGTAATCTAACCTTTCGCCCTTCTTGCACTATAGTCCCCTGAGTGCAAATGACTGACAGGCAGGTGGGACAAATGCAAATGTTATGCAAATTCCAACTTCCCATAAACATCCTTAATGACTCTGAACATAAATCAATCTAATGTTACTTCAATTAATAAGGGCTGAAAGATTTCAGATATTACGACTTACTCAGAGCCCCCATACGCTGATTTGTCCTTGAAAAGAATTTTTTTTCAATAATTTTGGCCAAGAACATTTCTAACGAAAGTTTATGAAACAATCAGTTTCATAATCATAACATTTCATAACATTTCATAACAATCAGACGCAAAGTTTTAATGACATACCATAGATAGTCTTTAATTTTTGTGGCGTTCTCTAGGTCTTCTGGAAGGAAATTGGTTTATAATTTTGTCTTTATTTTATTGATCAAAGCCATCAGGTTTCACTTAGAACTGAGCGTGCTAAAGAACATCAGTCTTTTTTCTTAGCATTGAAGGAGTGAGAGGTAGAAGTTGCCTTTAATTCTCTGCATTTCCCAGCCCTTACTGCCAATGCTGTAGTCTTGCTTTCTTGGCTGGTGTTGTAGGAGACCAAGTGATCCGTACAGTCCCCTGCAGCCCCGTGAGTCCTCCCTACTCCTCAGCTGAAGCCCATCCCTGCATGTAGCTCACATCCCAATTTCTCACTCCTGAGAAGCTGGAGCTCATGAAACTACCTTTTCTATCTCCGCTCTGTGCTTATGCTGAAATACTTATTCTTGATGAGTAGTTTAGTTATAAATGACTAAGCAGCCATCATTTTTAGAGTAGTTTTAGAGTACTTACTTAGATATTTACAAAACTGCCAACAGTATGACACAGTCCAGTTACATGGATACTATGAATAGTTCCTGCCTAACTTTTAAAAGTATGTTTTTGGAATTCACCTATTTTTTTTTAGTATAAAAAAATTAGCCTGCTATGAATGAAATGGGATATTTAATTATTCCCCAATTTTTTAAAAATATAAAATGTTAGGGAAACCATAAGAGGATGGATGAAAAGAATGATGATATTTGAACTTTTAATTTCAGAACTGAGTTTGATGTTTGTTAAGATAGACCTTATCAATTTACTCTACAGGAACCTACTAAATGCCTCTTCTTCTTGACATCAAAACTTACACATTTTAGGAATTTAATTTCCATCTTATGGAAGATCTTATGATCTTCAAACTGTAAACTACACTTGTACATTTCTACTAAAACCATGGGTATCATGTGACTACGAGTGGGAAAGTATTGATGGACATTCAAACTCAGTTCTGCTGGACTTGATGGCCCCACATCCATTATCAAGGCACTTCACTGGGGGGTGCATCAAACTGAAACCAGGGTTCCAAACTGAGACAGGCTGCAATAGTCTTGCTTATATTACTTACAAATATTTGATGTTATATTTCTCCATCTTATATTCCCGACCCAGCCTGCATCTCATCACAGAATTATTGCATTGAAGAGGTAAGGTGGGATGGTAGAAGTTACCTTATTAAGGGGGTATTTGTGCAGGAAAGGTACCAGTTTCATGTCCACAGAGCAATATGACAACATATTCACAAACAGATGTAAACAACCAAACATCACTTTGTTTCTTATCTTTGCTGAATATCATAGATTTTAATCCTCTATTGTGCCAATGGCTTTATTTTCTATACTCCAAGAAGCTTATGTGTGTGAGAAATATAATTATTTAGCCCCACACAATTTGTCTGTGTAATAAAATAAACATTTACCATTTATCATTAGAGTATCCATATTCACTAAGATAACAACCCTTAGAAAATATGTAAGTGTTGGATAACTGTGATTCTGTGAAATCAAAAATAAAGAGAAAGAAAAAAATACTTTTGTAGGTGCCTAGCAAAAATTTCTAAAGTAGATGGAGTTTGTATAATGGCATATCATTTCAAAATCATTAGTAATAGAATCAATAATGGCCCTGACAGGAGGAGTCATTAAATTATATATTGATTTAGCTCTTCTTGCACAGTAAAGCTATTAATAGGAAACTTGATTATTAAAGGACATTTCACCTACAGAGGCAGGATGAAGTTAGTCCTTATCAATTAGCACTTTGAATCAAGAGTCAAAAAGCAGAAGGCATTGGTAATGTTCACCTTTTCTTTCAGAGCAGAATAACCCCCCCCCCCCTTAGCAAAGGTAGCAAAGGTAAAATAAACCAATGTAACTATTGAAAGAACATATCCTTGGGAGGCCTTCTTCTCACTTTCCGGAGCCCAGTGCATACAGGATGCTGTGGTTTATTTTCTATCACAGGGGCTATTAGATGGGATGAGGTTGGGTTGTTGAAAATACCAGGTATTCTGGCTTGATCATCAGCAGAAGCATGGTGCTATTCCTCAAGATTCTGGGACAGAACCAGACTGTCAAGGACGGAAGGGACCTCTGGTGTTTTCCAGTCTGCCCCACTGTCACTTATCCAATGTCAACAGGCCTTCTGCATTGTCACAGGAATTGCATCTCCCTGAAGATACAGATCCATGTTGGCTATTCTATTCTGTTTACCAAGGGAAGCACTCAGATGGCTGTTGTTACTTCTTTAAATTGACAGGCTAACAAAAACAAAGATGGCAACAGTTGGGTAGATGTAGCCCTTCATCCAAATACAATTCTTACATTATTGTACTTACGAGGAATGAATAGAAACATTGCTGTCATATAATTTTCAAGTGCCATAATCATTACAAAGAAGGTTAGGAGAACTCATATTTTTTACATCTCTTTAAGTTTGAACAGCATACTATTAAATTGTATGCTCTGGAAACTAGCAAAGCAGTTACAAATCTTATGATAATATTAAAGTATTTCTCAATATGGCCAAGATTTTTATGGAGGTACATTTTGATTCCATTTCCTAAAATAAAATTTGCTTAAGGAAGATCAATTTATTCAGTGGAAAAATACAGATCATTCCTTTTGATTTTTGCAGTGCCTTTCATATGATGATAGCAAACCAACATCTATACTTTATTTCTCAGTCTCTTTCTTATCTGATGAGTCTCAAAGGATCTGGACACCTTCAAACAGACTAACAATGAGTCCCGTATCTGGTGGTGACTCAGGCAGATAGTCAGAAAAGGAATAAAGGGGTGGCTTAATTAGTGGTTGAAAAGGAAAATTTCTTCAAAATATATTTGAGTCTCATATTGTTAAGCTGAACTGGTATCACAGTCTCTTTTTCAATTTAAGCCTCACTTGTCCTTCTGTGGATTCCGTCCCCCCCAAAGCCTGCCCTTGATGTTGAGGGAAGATGAGAAGAAGGTAAGTTGGAGGATGAGAGAGTAGAGACTCCTTTCAAAATCCTCATGCAAAAGATTTTAGTGAAGATTTCACATGTTTAGGTGTGCTCAGGACTTTTATTTTATTTTTAAAGATTCATCCTCTCTTTTGGTATATTCAGAGGTCAATAGAATGATGGGCAC